ATAGAAATATCTACGAACTCTACATTAACATGTACATATATGTGTATGTGATAACTACGTGTCACCTCTTGTGACGTCTTTTTCTGCGTGTGATGTTTACACGGGAGATCTTTTCCTTGTTTTTGTCCCCAAATATAGGGGTGGGGTAAACACACGGAGATTTTTTAAAAAATGATATTGATGCATAAGAGTCGGTTTATGTTCTAAGCCTTTACTGCTTGTAATGCCCTCAAAGTTGCCAGGTAGCCGTGGCCAGTGTGGCCCAGTGGTTAGGACACAGCCCGCCTGGCCGAGGGTTTGATTCCAGTCAAGGGCACGCACCTGAGTGGCGGGTTTGCTGCCGGCACCTGTCGGGGTCCGGTGGGAGGCAGCCAATGCATGTGTCTCTCTCACATCGATGATTCTCTCTCTCTCTTCCTCCCTCCCTTCCACGGGGTCTAAACATCAATGGAAAAGATGTCCTTGGGTGAGGACAAAGAACAATTAAATAAAGGTGCCAAGTATTTGAAGGCAGTTACACACGCATATACACACAATCACACAGACAGATAGACATGCCCACATACACACATGCACACACACACATGCACACACACATATTGTGTCACTGCTTGTGGTCTTTAAGTGTGCCCACAGGGACCTACCTGGCTTCCTCATCATCCCATATCCAGTGACGTGGACTTGGGGTTCCCACTCTGGAATGCTTTTGCCCTCGGGGGTCATTCAGCTGGGAGATGTTTTTGACTCTTCATCCTGGGGGTCCATGCTCCCAGCATGTGGTGGCTGGAGACCAGGGATGCTCCACACCCCACAGTGCACAGGACAGCCCCCCACAGAGAATTGCATGGTCCACAAACCCGACCGTGCTGAGATGGACAACTCCTGGCATTACATTGTGTTCTTTTTGTGCAAAGTAGCTGAAGTTAGAAAAACCAAAGACAGAAGGCAGCTGTGAACCTGGGCATACTGGGGACCCATGACGTAGACCAGGTGCCCCCAGCGCCTCCTCCTGAGTCTCTCTGTCCCTCAGACATGGGGGAGGGAGGCGTAGACGGCCGGAGACTTGATTACACATTCCGCAGCTCACGGGTGGCATTCGGGGACCAGAATCCATCAGAAGGTGGGAACTGGGAGGAGGGGTTGATGGGAGAAGAGGGAGTTTATCTTTATTGTTCCTGCTTTTGTGTGTTCCCCTTGAATATGTTATTGGGGGACATTCACATCCATGTCCAGTTGGGCTGCCAGAGGGAGGCCCCCCACTCCTTCCCACGTTCACGTGTGACCCCTGGCGCAAATGTCCACTGAACCCCACCTCCGGGAACTGGGATGCTGTGTGTGGACTCTCGCGTGGAACCCCCAGACTATTCCAGTCGCCCCTCTTTTCTCCCTAGTTCCTTTTGTCATGGTCACAGGCATCCTTGGTCAGCCATAGTCCGTAACTATGAAATGGAAAATTCCAGAAACGTACAGCTGATACGTTGTAAATTGCATGGCATTTAAATAGTGAGATGGAATATTTCGGGTCCCGTTCTGTTCACTGGGGACCCGCATTGTCCCTCTTTCCAGCGTCTCCACGTTGCAGACCCCTCCCCCCACCTGTTAGCCACTTAGTATCCACGTGGGTGGTCAGACTGACGGCCGTCCATGACAGTGTTGGGGCTCACGTCAGCCTGACTTTACTGCATGATCCCCCGGAGCGCAGATGTTGTGAGGCCGGTGATTTGGATGCTCAAGAGGAGCCGTTACCTGCTTCTTTTACGTGAAGAGGTGGATCTTCTTCATGAACGAATCATTGTATCCACTCGCTTCAGCATCGCAGGAAGGATGGATACAATGTATCAGCACATTGAGAGAGAGAGAGAGAGAGAGAGAGACCACGGGCACCTAACTTTCATCACGGCCCATTGTTACAACGTCTCTCTGTTTCATTGTTAGTTATTGTGAACACCTCTCTGGGCCTGAGTTATAAGTTTACTCTCTGACAGGTGTGCATGCGCAGGGAGACGCAGAGTATACGTAACGTGCGGCCCGTCCACGGTTTCAGGCATCCCCTGGGGATCATGGAGGGTGCTCCCTGTGGAATCGGGGTACACTCATCGGGAACGAGGGAGTCAGTGAATTTCGATCCTTGCTCTAGCCCTGCTCAGCGCCAGAGTTCTGCTAAACCCAGAACCTGCCCGTGGACCCAAGATCATTTTGAGCAGGTTTGGGTTCAGGACCCCCTCCTTGTCCATTTATCCAGTGTGCTCCCCCCCTCCCCCCCCCGCATAGTGCCTCCTTTTCTGTTCGCCACAACCCCATGCCTAAGGCCATGCACCTGAGCCCAGGGAGGTCAAAACCATTTCCTCGGCTCATAGGTGGCATTCGGGGACCAGAATCCATCAGACTGACAGGTTAACGGTGTCTCCCCTTACTGTTTGCGGGCGGCTAGGGAAGGAAGGGCTCATGCTGAGTCCGAGCAGGATGGTTTCAGGAACACGAAGTCTCCGAACTTGCCATCCCCTCTCTCCTGCCCGCATCTGTCTCCTAGTTATTCCGACACTGGATCACAGCACGGCCGGTGTCCAATGTCCCCGGCAGGATTCAAAGACGGCGGCACCTATAAATCAGCCACTGGGTGCGGGGCTGCTTTTCAGTTCACTGTGATGTCAGATCTTTAGAGCATTTCCATTCGGCTCTGATGAACTTGACCCAGGATGTCACGGTCTGTGCAATTTCCCTCAAGGGTGTTACAGCCCCAGGAGGCATCTGGATCCGATAGGAGGCACTGATAAAGTAACGATCGCTTTGAAATATTCTACTGTTCACGTCAAGGAAATTCATAGATTCCAGGCCAGAAATACGCCCCCAAATCCACCACGTCCTTACAAATGAGTCTCTCTGTTTTCGAGTGGAAACAACTGTGGAATATTACTCGGCCGTGAAAAAGAATGGAATCTCACCATTTGCAATGGTGTAGGTCAACCGAGAGCAAGAAAGGCTCAGTGATATGTCAGAGAAAGACAAACACCGTATGATTTCAGGTACATATGCAACCTAAAGAGCAAAATGAGTGAACAAACAAAACAGAAACAGACTCAGAGACACAGAGACCAGACTGGCGTTTACCATAGGGGATGGGGTTGGGAACTGGGTTAAACATGAAGGGATTGAGCCCTGGCCGGTTTGGCTCAGCAGTTAGAGCGTCGGCCTGTGGACTAGAGAGTCCCGGGTTCAGTTCCCGCTAAGGGCACGTACTCGGTTGCAGTTTATCCCCGGCCCCGGTTGGGGTCGTGTGGGTGGCAGCCACTCAGTGCGTCTCTCTCACATCGATGTTTCTCTCTGTCTCTTCCTCCCTCTCTCCCTGCCGCTCTATCTGGAGATAAATGCAAAAATGTCCTCAGGTGAGGATAACAAATAAATGAGGGGATTGTGACATATAGGTTGGCAGTTACAGAACAGTCACGGGAGTGTAAACTATAACACAGGGAATATAATCAATAACATGGTAATAATGGTGGTGTCCCAGAGGTACGAGATTTATTGGAAGATCACTTTGCAAATGATACAAACGTCTAACCCCTATGCAGTGTACCTGAAACGAATATAAACTAATATTGAACGTCAACTGTTATTAAAAACAATTTTTAAAGGACGGCAAAAGCTAATAATAATAATAATAATAAAGCCTAATGAAATGGCTTCTGTCCCTAACGGCTCATTTACTGTCTCCTGCACACACGCATGAGGTTCTCTGAGCTGTGGTTTATCTCGGGAGGGTGCTGGGATCCACACTGAACAATGGTGATGAGGGGGCTGTTTAAGTCCTTGACAAGAAACGGACACACTCAACAAATGTACCGTAAGCTTTTATTTTATTTATTTATTTATTTTTTTATCCTCACCCGAGGACATTTTTGCATTTATTTTCAGACAGAGCAGGAGGGAGCGAGGGGGGAAGACAGAGAGAGAAACATCGACGTGACGGAGACACATCGAGTGGTCGCCATCCACACCACCCCAACGGGGGCCGGGGACAAACTGCAACCGAGGTCCATGCTGTTAGTGGGAACCGAACCCGGGACTCTCTGGTCCACGGGCCGACGCTCTAACCACTGAGCCAAACTGGCCAGGGCTCTACCATAAACTTTTTATGTTTTGTTGAGTTTTTAGAGAGAGAGATAGAAACATCGATGTGAGAGAGAAACATCCATCGGCCGCCTCCTACACGCCCCCTACTGGGGATCGAGCCCGCCACCCGGGCCTGTGCCCTGACCGGGAATCGAACCCGGACCTCTCAGTCCATGGACGATGCTCAACCCCTGAGCCACACTGGTTGGGCAGCACTTTTAATTCTGAATGATGTCTTGATATGACACGCAGTTCCGCCTGTCCTCGAAACACATCATTGCGTTTAGTTGTCCCAAGGACGCTGGGCCACAGGGCCGTGATGTCCGCGGACCAGGGACGTGTGTTCGAATCCCCTGAGAAGAACCAGTGTCCAGCTACACTCTAGTTCAGATGGGACACTTCTTTTGTGTGATCTGCTACATATCCACCGGTCAGACTGCTCGTTTGCTCAGAAGCTCACTTTCCTCTCCTGGGCCCCCCAAAACTTAGACCTCCACCCATAACTGCTTAGGGAGATGTGACCCTGACCTTGACCTTTTGAGAAACATGCTTTGAGCGTCCTCATCCGTTGGTGGCCCCATCGTGTCAATAACAGTGTCCGTGGGGGACGTTCCAGTTATCCCGTGTTTAATCCTGGGGGGACTTGTTCGTTCCTTCCACAAAGACTTGGGGAGTTTCCCAGTGCGAGGCGTGGTCGCAGGCAATGGTCGACACGGCGGGAGTTGCGATTGACGTGTCCCGCGTGGAGAACTTTCTCGCGGGTGACCACTGTGCCGGTCACACTCCTCGTGTGGGGTGGAGGGATGATGTTGGCGGCCCAGGTAGCTGTGTTGCTGGTCTCATTGTGTTTGCTTTCCTTGTCCATCAGACTGACCGGTCGGCGCCGGAGTCGTCATAAGGAATCGCCTCCCTTGGTGGGTGTCTGATGCTCATCCCTGCTGGATTCGCCTCCGGGATCAAGAGAAGGCTGCCCCCTGGACATGGGCTCCCCAGAAACTTGCTGGGCGTGTGCTGAACACTGAGCTCCGTCTATGACCCCGGTGCGAGGCTTCCTCCCAAGCCCGCCACCCCTCCTGGGTCCTCGGCCCCCCAGAAAGCCCTTTCTCCCCGCGGGCTGGCTCCCCGACTCTGCCGCCTTGCCGTTGTGTGTCCCAGACGCCTGCGGATGGAACTGTGAACAATGTCGAGACCCGGGGGACTGTTATGGCTTCCCCTGTTCTTCACCCCGGTCTGCGTCATGGTGAGCCACCACGCCCCGCTGTGGTTGACGGCCCTCGCCATCAAGTTGACGCTCGTCGGCGGCCAGGCGCAGTATCCCGTCGTCAACACGAATTACGGCAAAATTCGAGGCCTAAGAACACCTCTGCCCAATGAGATTTTGGGTCCCGTGGAGCAATACCTGGGGGTCCCGTACGCCTCACCGCCCACGGGGGAGAGGCGGTTTCAGCCGCCGGAGCCTCCCTCCTCATGGCCTGGGGTCCGCAACGCCACCCAGTTCGCCTCTGTGTGTCCCCAGCACCTGGACGAGAGGTCCCTGTTGCACGACATGCTCCCCATCTGGTTTACCGCCAATCTGGATACTTTAATGACGTACGTGCAAGACCAGAATGAAGACTGCCTCTATCTGAACATCTACGTGCCCACGGAGGACGGTAAGTACCGGGTTCAAACAGAGAACAACACCCGCTCCCTCGTCCGCCGCGACGGCTGTCTCTCGCCCCGGGCAGAGGCTCGTCCGTAACCCGTTTCTTCTCCCTCCTGTTCTGAGTGTAGCGATGTCCAGTCCACTCCGCGGCGTCTCCCGAGCTCCTGGGAGCCGGCCCGTCCTCTCGTCAAGGACTCCGTCGTGTTTCACATCTTGCCTTTCTCGCCTCGTGTTGTCGTGTTGATTTGCAGGTGATACCGTGCGTGAGTAGAGTCCCTGGCGCACCCGCGTCTAGCAACCATAACAGCGTTAAGACGTGACGGTGCCCACCGCCGTCCACTGAGCCTGAGGCGCCCCGGAGCCACTTGCTGGGATGTGTGAGGCATTTCTGACGCTTTCTTCCGTTTTGTTTCTTTCCGCTTTTGGGTGTCGACGGCCACCACTGAATGTGTTCGGTACCCCGCCAAGGGGTAGTTGGTCAGCCAGTTGACGTTCCTTCTTGGGGATGCGTGTTTTTAACCTGAATTTGGATTCTTTTTCTTCCTACAATTCCCGCAGCAAACGCATGTCATCCCCCGGTTCGGGTCGGGTCAGAAAATCACGTAGCGACCTGACGAAAATGGGCCTTTTGTTTACAATCACTCGACAGTGAGCAGTCTCTAGAAAGGGGGTGTTCAGGAGGGTAATTGTGTCCCCCGCTGCTGACGGCGAGCGATCCCCTGTCCGTGTCGATTTCCACTTAAACATTTGGACGACATCCAACCTGACGGACGTTGGTTACGGGGACGACGCGACGCTTGTCCTTTACCATTTGCCTGTACGGTTTTGACGCAGGGGAAAGACAGACTTGGAAGGAAGTCCTACCGGAACGGAAGAAATAATTAACGAGGGGCGCAGACCTCACCAACTGTAGGGTCCAAACTGTGTCCTCGGTCACTTCTATGTAGGACTGCCTTCCTCCCCCTTTAATGCTTGGAAAATAACCTTCAGGGAGATTTCGGAGCCAGTCTGAGAAGAGCGGCTGCGTAATTCAGCGATCTCCCAAACCGGGTCCGCGTCATCGTCCTTTCTCCACGCTCCATGGCGATGCTGCGAGGGGGCGGCGTGTGAGGGGACACCGGCCGGGCGTCGATCTGGACGTCACAGAGAGCACCCCCGTTCCCCCTGAGGCCAGGGAACACCGTGCTTCCTTCTGTGACCAGCTCTAAGCGGGCGTCCCTTGGCGTTATGGCGACGGCACCCACATGGATCTCCTAGTGGGTGGGCCTCCCCGTGATGCTGACATTGGGACTTCGTTCTGCGGTTTCCGGAGCCGACTCCGTGGAGGGACGCCCCCCAGTAGCTGCTTTGCCCACGTGCGAGAAGGTGAACACCCACGGCCCCCCTGGAACGAGATCTCTCGTGTTGCACGCCTCCTGGCTGGCCGCCTTTCTCGCGACCGACTATTCAGATAACAGATATTTAAAGAGAAGGAGTAACAGGAGGGGGAGGGGGAGCCGCCAAACAGGACAAAGGAGGAAAACGGCTTTGGTGACCCCTTTCATGCCGCAGGGATGGGGCGCCCTTTGTCTGGCACGGGCCGTGTGTGTGTGTGTGTGTGTGTGTGTGTGTGTGTGTGTTTATACCACCACTCAAGGGCCGCCCAAAATTACCAGCTTAAAATTAGCCTGCTGCCCTGCCCGGTCTGGCTCAGCAGTTGGAGCATCGGCCCACGGACCGGAGAGACCCGGGTTCGGTTCCCGCTAAGGGCACGGACCTCGGTTGCAGTTTGTCCCCGGCCCTGGTGGGTCGTGCGGGTGGCAGCCACTCGATGTGTCCCTTTCACGTCGATGTTTCTTTCTCTCTCTCTTCCTCCCACTCTCTCTGAAGATAAATGCAAACATGTCTTCGGGTGAGGATAAAAAAAACAACACATAGCAGCCTGCTGTGTTTGCTGAGGCTGATGCGGTGAGGTGTGTGGGGTCAGCTGGGGTTAATTTTGTGGCGTTCCTACAGTCCTCGGGCGGGACGCCCCCCACCCCCGGTCGCGTCTCGGAGCCGGTGACTTTGTAGCCTGAGCCTCATGAGCAAGCCCGCCTTTCGCACAGAATACTGCTTAATAGAGAAGGTTGGACCCAATTAGACCACCCAGGAAGAAAAATCAATAGTTTTCTTGATTACAGAGGGCTCGCTGTGGAATTGTGTGCACAGAAACCGTAAGCCATGGGCCATTTGTGTCGTAGGCATCGGGGGATATAAAAATCAGAGAAGAATAAACCCGAGGACACTGTTTTCTGTCCTCACTCATCTTCGGACAGTGTTTGCAAACAGTCACTCCCAGGATCGCGGCGGGAGAATCCGGCGTGTCGTACGGGCTGGAAAGGTGGTGCTGACCTCCCGACAGCACGTAAATGATGCAATTTAGCCGGTGAGGGTTTGACGCTCCACGTCTGTGTGTTTGCACCGACCGCAAATCACGGTTTTTGTTGGCTTGCGTGTTTTAACCCTACATCAATGTAAGAATCAGCGCTTGGGTGCAGAAACGCAATGATTGTTGACTCACAAAAGGACAAAACCCGTTTTCACGGTGAACATTAACTTGACGGCGTTGCACGGACTCCTACACAGGTTTCCCTAGGGGTGTATCTGCATTCATGTCAGTGCATTTAAAACGGTGCCCACGGCCGAGGTGGATGTTAAAAATCCCAGAGTCAGTTTGAATCTCCCCACTTTGGTGTGTCTTTCTTCATGGATGGGAGGGTATGACTCACGGCAGCAAGAGCTCGCTTCCAGAAATAATGCTGACGACTCTGTGTGCCCGTCATGGGTTACATGGGTGACTGCAAGCAACACGCATTCCTAAATGTGAAAGACGGACGCTTGTCCCAGCGCGGTGTCGGTCTGCCAAGGATCAGCGCGCCCTGAGGTCCGGGCCCGTGAACACCTTCCCTGGCCAAGGAGACAGAAGGACATCGGCAGGTGAAATGGTGTTTGCTCATCCGTTGACCTTCAGGTAGGAGGAACGTCATCTGCATGATCGGAGTGGGCTTCCCGTGTAATAACAAGGAGCCTGCCTGTGGACGAAAGCAGAGTAGGAAGAGGAAGCCAGGAGAAGTCGTGGGAGAATGGAGAACTGGTTGTCGCTGGCTCTGGGGGTGCGCGGAGTCAGGGGTGCAGGAATCTGGTTGCCTCCAGAGGCGGGACAAGCCAGGGAAATGGACTGTCCCTTGGAGGCCCCAGAAAAGACCCAGCCCAGGTCAGCACACCTTGGGTTTAGCCCCGTGGAACTTGGACCTTCAGAACCGAGAGGTCACACCTGTGCTCTGTGTTTGTGGCCATTTTTTTTACAGCGACAAGAGAAAACTCATACTCTCTGCCCAACTGGGGTGGCTCTGTAGCTGAGTGTCCACCCTGCACCAAGAGGTCACCAGTTCGATTCTCGGTCAGAACACATGTCCGGATTGTGGGCCCATCCCTAGTGGGGGGCATGCAGGAGGCAGCCAATCAGTGTTCTCTCTCATGGATGTTTCTATCTCTCTCTCTTCCTCTCCCTCTCTCAAATCAATAAAGAATAAATACTAAAAAAAAAAAAATTTCTTCGTTCTGCCATGCTTTTCAAGCAGGATAAAAAGTCTGTTCCAACGGAGGGGCAGACACCCGGCGTATTTGTGGGTTCCGCTCGATAGGGTAGGTACCCGATCTGTTGTGTGCTGTGTAAGTAATAGTGTCATACGTCCCAGTAGAAGTCGTACTCGGAAAGATACACGATTATACACAGGGAAGAAACGGGCCTGTCCAGAGGGGATGGCGCTGAATAACATACAGCCCCACGTCCAGATTGGCGTCTTGCCTCCACATGCGACTCACGGTGGCCGCTGTGTCTGCAGGTGTCTTCCTGTCCGACGTAGCACCCCGTGGGGAGAAACCTTTCGCTCTGTCTGCTTCTTCACTCTAGACCACAAAGATCTCATGTCTCTGGGCAAAGCGACTCTCCCCTTTTTAAAAAGATTCTTTGGGGGCATTTACGTCTCCACAGAGTGACAGCGCGTTGTTTCCCTTTCGCGGTGTTATTGAGGCATCATCGGCGCGTATCGCGATATCCGTGGACGATTCCCGGCGTGAACGTGGGTGGACGGACATTGGGAAATGGTTACGGAAGCGACTTGAGTTCACCTCCATCCTCTCGTGTAGACGTGATAGAGAGAAAAGGCAAGAATGTTGTTATTTTCCTTGGGACGCGAGCCCGGGACGGTTAGTGGGAACAGCCGGGCCATAGAGCGGCGCCCACCACCGTCGTCCTCTTGTACACGATGTCTGTCACCCTTTCTCACCTTCGAGCTGCACATCTGTTTCTCTGTCCAGCTTCATCCATCCCTTCACCGCCGGCCCCGCACCCCTGCTCTGGGAAACACACCCCTGACCTTTCTCTGTGACATTGCTTTCGTTTGCACTGGTATTGGATCCTCTTTGTCTTTTACTTATTATTGTTTTTTTTTTTTAATTAATTTACTTTTTCCCATCACCATGTATCCCCTCGGGGGCCTCCTCACTTCCTATTTCCCATCTTTTTTTTTATTTTTATTTTTTTATCCTCACCCGAGGACATTTTTCGATATTTTGTTCAGATAGAGTGGGAGGAAGAGAGAGAGAGAGAGAGAAACATCGATGTGAAAGGGACACATTGAGTGGCTGCCACCCACACGACCCACCAGGGCCGGGGACAAACTGCAACCAAGGTACATGCCCTTAGCGGGAACTGAACCCGGGTCTCTCCAGACTGCAGGCCAACACTCTAACCGCTGAGCCAAACCGGCCAGGGCCCCATCTTTTTTTTTAAATTCTTTTTCTTCTTGTGTTAGATTTTCCACATAAGAGAAATCATGCGGTATTGCCTTTTCACTTAGCTCAATACCTCAAGGTCTACATGTTGGTATAAAGAGTGGGACTTTCTTCTTTTTTTTATGACTGAAAAATATTCTATTACATTGACATATCTATATTTATATATCTATCTCTATATCTCTTTCT